GAGAACAGACATTTGATTTGATGTGGTGGAAGCACATTTTGAACCTGTACCGTTACATCTTGTTCTCGATTAAATCACATCCCTTAATCGCAGACCCTGGGGTACTTACCCTACTCCTATCGGTTTCGTAGGGTAGTTACCAATGTCTAGGAAAACCGCGGAGGAGGGTCCGACGTACTTTCGCGAACTGTCAAGGTGCACCAAGAATATAAAAGAGAACCCGAACCTAACTAAACCCCAACCCCGAATTTTAAGTGCGAGTTTCTTTCTGAAGGCACCTGCCAGCTTTCTGAGGGCTTTTAAGTGGTTCTTAGCTTTTCGCAGAGCTTCGTCAACGTAGCACCTAGCAAAAAGGGGCTTATAAAAACTCTGTAACTCCTTGTTGACATTTTGACTTCGGTCTCTTCTGTGGGACTTCGGTTTCTGTGGTTCGTATTGGTTCATAACGACTGCAGCTTGCTCGAGGGGCTTGTAATGTGGGTGTAAATGTCTTGTAAAAAAATCACGGGTGCAAACTTTCTATTGTAACAGAGCGAACTCGCGCACAAGGGCTGAGCATCTTGTGTAGCCCATCTGGATTCAACATCTCAACGACAAGTCAACGGTAGATACGTCAGACCGTCTGGAATCTATGGTTTCAACGTCAATCAAGGTGCGAGTCTCTTTAAAGTCAACGCTATTTTACAGGCCCTGGTTTCTAGATGGTCAGCCTCATAACTCCCCCCCAACGAGTTACGTTTGACTTCAATTATGGTCAGCGCTGACTTTGATGAAGTCTGAGTTATGAAATAGTTCTCTGTATCATAGATTTGGACTTAATCATCCTTGTTATACGAACGCCATTCCCATTACATGCTCAGCATGTTGTAACCTTCATAAACGTATCAGCGATACAACTATTGGTCATATTCCATACAAGCGGATGACGAGTTTCAGGCTTGAGAGACAAGATCGTCTTCTGTTTTTATTATCAATGCTTGTCCTAGCATCATATAGTATAAGTTCAAAAATCACGATGTTTCAACCTCTTCAGACTGATTTTGAAAAGAAAAAAAATCCTAACCTTAGCTCAACTAGAATGACTGCAATCGCCACTACAGTTGACAAGATTCCTTCCCATGCTTACATAAAACATCTTAACGACCCCCACGAAACCCACCATAACCCGGGCCTGCTTTTTGAGACGGTTTCCGTTCTTTCTTGCCCATGTCACCAGCACCTGCACCTGCACTGCCAGCAGCAGAGCCAGCAGCACCACCGGCACCTCTAGCAGCGGCACCAACAGCAGCACCAGATGACACATGTTTAGAACTAGTGGTAGACGCGGCTGTGGGCCTGGCGAAAGAACCTCCCCCAGAGCCACCAGATGAACCTCCCCTGGATCCACCTGCAGAAGATGACTGTCCTCTTCCTCCCCCTCCACTACTGCCACTGCCACCGCCAGCAGCAGCAGCAGCACCATCACCACGGCTCCCAGAACCTTCCTGACCACCCCACCCTCTTCCACTTCCCCCTCCCCTCCCCCCTCCCCTCCCAGCTCTCCCTCCCCTTCCCCCTCCTCCCCGCCCTCCCCCACCTCCTCCTCTTCCTCCTCTCCCTCCTCTCCAACCTCTCCCCCCACCTCCTGGCCCAATTCCTCCCCTTCCTCCTCCCAACCCTCCACCACTCGCCCCTAACCCCCCTCCGCCTGACCCACCCTCCCCCTCTTCCTCCTCCTCCTCCTCCTCCTCCTCCTCCACCTCTTCCTCCTCCTCTGCTCCCCCCCATGCTGCACGGTTACCACCTTCCCCCAGCCCATGAATCAGCCCCGCCTCGATTCGCTTCATCTCAGCCGCTTGTGCCGCCGATCCGACGGCCACGGAGCCCTTAACCTTGTAGCTGTAGTTCTTGCCGTCTTTCACATAGAACTGGGGTCCTTGGGCCTGGGCCTGCGCTTGGGCTTGCTGTGACTGTGACTGTGACTGCGCTTGTGCTTGCACCAACCCCTGCTGCTGCACCTGCTGCCCCTTCAAACCAGCACCAACAGCACCACCAGCACCAGCAGCACCACCAGCACCACCAGCACCACCAGCAGCAGCGCGTGCAGCAAACCTCGTCCCCACCTCCTCAACCTCACTGCTCCCCGCACCTCCTGCCACGTCATACCCTTCCAGCTCATCAAATGAGTCGTCATACTCATCGTCGTACTCAAACTGCGACTCAAACACAAACCGCTTCACTGCCTCCTGCTCCCTCCTGCTCCCCGTGCCTGCTGCCGAACCTCGCTTCCAAACCTCCTCTTCCACCGACTCATCCTCCCTCTTGCTCCGGACGAACCTACCAGCAGGAGCAGCAGCAGAGGCAGCGGCTGTAGCAGCGGCTGTAGCAGGGGCTGTAGTGGGTGTGGTGGTAGTTTTTGCAATGCCTGCCCACGAGCTCCCACCCTCCCCAACCGCACTGGACCCTTCTCCTCTCAGCTTCCTCTCCACCTCTCTCTGCTGGTCCACAACCCCTCCCCACCCCCTTGCACCCCCTTCCTCATCCTCCTCGTCCTCCTCTCCTCCCTCTGCAACCACTGCCTTGCCCTTTCCTTTACCTGCTGCCCCACTTGCAGCACCACCACCAGCTGCACTAACAGCACCAGCAGCACCAACAGCACCAGAAGCAGCAGCAGCATCCCCCTTACCACCCGCACCAGCCTTCCCTGGCTTCACCTTCAGCTGAGTGTCTAACTTAGCTAAATCCGGGTGTAAACTCCCCTCCAGTACATGCTGAATCACCGCCTCTGCATCCCCCCCATACGCCTCCAAACACGCACCCACAAAGCCCTCCCCGAAATCCGGGAAAATATCTCGCACGAGCGAGATCTTGGATTGCTCGAGGGCTGCTGACTCAGCATCAGCGGAGGCAGAGAGGGAGGGAGTGAGGGAGGGGAAGTCTTCTGCTGAAGGGGGGTGGTTCGCTGCTGTGGTGTTGCTGGTAGTGGATGGGTCAGAGGAGGAGGAGGAAGTGAGGGGTGGTGGCAGGGTGATTGGAGGGCCTATTATGTCCGAGATCGTATCGAACTGCGTGTTATCCAGGGGAAGCTTGCCTGCAGGAAAGACGGAAGAAAACAAAACGAAAACAGAAGTGAGGGGTGGTGGCAGGGTGATTGGAGGGCCGATTATGTCGGAGATTGTATCGAACTGTGTGTTGTCGAGGGGAAGCTTGCCTGGGGAAACAACGCGAGCAATAAAAGGAAAAACAGTGGGGAGAGAAGTGAGGGGTGGTGGCAGGGTGATTGGAGGGCCTATTATGTCCGAGATCGTATCGAACTGCGTGTTGTCGAGGGGAAGCTTGCCTGGGGAATGGGAAGGAGGGCATATCACAGAAGAAAGGGTTGACTTTTGAGTCGACTCAAAAGGGAGAGAGGAAACACTGGATGAGTGCTATTTTGGCGGAACGGGCACTGACTGAAAAAGTACAACCACACGTCAAGCTGAACACACACAGCCACACAAGCAGCTCTATGAAACACTAGGTAAGACAAGAACCTTCTAAGGGATAGGTAGTAGATATATAGCTTAACACAGAACCACACCATTCAGGACAATAACCTTTTGATACACACCTAACGAGGCGAAAACCGGCCTCCTATTGCTCAGTTTTTTTCCTCACCTACCTTTCATTTTCTCTTCATAGATTGCTGACCGAAGACCAAAAGAAGCATCAACTGCCCGAAGCAGAGGGATCCACGCCACGCCATCCACATCTTTGCTGCCCGTGCTGCCCGAGCTCACTCCATGCACCGCAAGAATCTCTTCGAGCAGCACCTGCCCGAAATTCATTTTCTGGCCAAGCAGCCCGTCCCACAACGGGCACCCAGATTGTTTTCCCCTGCCCGGCTTGACTCCACAATCACACACAGGGCAGGGTGGCAAACCATCACTGCTGCTACCACTGTTGCTGCCTCTATTTCTGCTACCCCTGCTCCTGCTAGTCCTATCACCACCAGCAGTATTATCACCACCAGTACCACCACCACCAGCAACAGCAGCAGCAGCAGCAGCAGCAGCAGCAGCACGAGCACACCCCCTTCCTCCAAGATACGCGCCCCAGAGATACTTCCACGCAACTTCCTCCAGCTTCGTTTGAAGAATCTTCCCCTGAACATTCACCGTTGCTGCTGACTGCATCGGTGTTCGCTTTGCTGATAACGAGGAGTTGGAGGAGGCGAGGAGGAGGAGCAGAGGGAGAAATGAGTCGCGAATTTGAGCCAACACAGAGAGAAGCCGCACAGGAGAACTTGCTGCTGGTGCTGCTGCTGCTGCTGCTGCTGTGCCTTGTTTCGATTTCCTTGTAGGTGCTGTTCTCGTTGTTGTTGCTGTGGTTGCTTGCAGGAGGAGTAGCGGGGCAGGCGGGTAGGCATCAAACAGCGCGTCGAGAGAGAAGGCGAAGTCACAGAGGTATTGGAGGGCTTCAATAATCTCAGAGGCAGAAGCTGGCTGTGGGGAGAGCAATGGGGAGACGAGGAGGAGGAAAAGAGGGTCAAAGATTGAGTTGAGAGAGAGAAGGCAAAGTCACAGAGGTAGTGAAGGGCCTCGGTGATCTCTGAGGAAGGAGGTGGCGATGATGCCTTGCTGTGCTGCAGAAGTGGGTGGGGGAGGGCAACAGGGAGACGAGAGGGTGGAAAAAGAGGGTAAGCATCAAAGAGCGCGTCGAGTCGAGGGAGAGAAGGCAAAGCTATATTGGTGCGACTCTTGAGAATTCTCATAAGTCGCAGCAAAGTCAGAGAGGTAGTGAAGGGCATCGATGATCTCTGAGGCAGAAGCTTGTTGTGAGTCTGCTGCGTCCGATGATGGGAGAAAACAAGAAGATGGGAGAAAACAAGAAGATGAAGAGATGTCTCCATCTAACTCTGTTGCCTAAAGATAAAAACAACTAAACAACGAAACTTCCTCTCACGGACAAAGTAACACTACGTGATCTGTACCTCCTCCGTTCGCCCACATGCCCTCGCCACCATCTCCTCAACCACCCGCAGCAGCAGCTGCTGTAACGGACCAAGAAACAACAACACCTTCCTCCCTTCCTTCCCCCCAACCCCACTCCCATCCTCTCAATACATACCTCCTCCATTCGCCCGCACGCCCTCGCCACCATTTCCTCAACCACCCGCAGCAGCTGCAGCAGCAGCTGTGCCTACGAAATCAGGAACTCCCCCCATTTCCATTCGATGCACCACGTACCTCCTCCATTCGATGCACCACGTACCTCCTCCATTCGATGCACCACGTACCTCCTCCATTCGATGCACCACGTACCTCCTCCATTCGATGCACCACGTACCTCCTCCATTCGCCCACATGCCCTCGCCAACATCTCCTCAACCACCCGCAGCAGCTGCAGCAGTGACGCCAGCCAAAGACCTTCCCCTACCCTATCCAATCCGTACTCCTCCATCCACTTACCCCCTCCATCCACTTACCTCCTCCATCCACTTACCTCTTCCATCCACTTACCTCTTCCTTCCACTTACCTCCTCCATCCACTTACCTCTTCCATCCACTTACCTCTTCCATCCACTTACCCCCTCCATCCACTTACCTCTTCCATCCACTTACCTCTTCCATCCACTTACCTCCTCCATCCACTTACCTCTTCCATCCACTTACCTCTTCCATCCACTTACCCCCTCCATCCACTTACCCCCTCCATCCACTTACCTCCTCCATCCACTTACCTCCTCCATCCACTTACCTCCTCCATCCACTTACCTCCTCCATCCACTTACCTCCTCCATCCGCCCACACGCCCTTGTCACCATCTCTTCAACCACCCGCAGCAGTTGAAGTAGAGAAGACGAGAGATCAGCTCGGAAGAGAGGCTGAGAGACCAGCACCCGACACACCTGGTGGTGGGGAGAGGTGCAATGCGGTGACAAGAGGTGCAGAGCAGCACGGGATGCATTCAATCTGTCTGTACCCACACGATCCGCCTCCACCAGCAGGAGCAGCAGAAGAAGTGGTGCAATACGGTGATGCAGGGAAACCAAGGAAGCAGGTGCAGTGCAGTGCAGTGCAGTGCAGTGAGGTGGGGTGCTAAAGTAGGTGGTGCAATGGGGTGAGTGATCAAGTAAGGGGCGCTGCGGTGATGGGGGGCAATTAAGTGAGCGGTGCAGTGCAGCGAAGACGGGTAACCAAGAGGTGAAATGCGGTGAAGCGGGGCAGAACAGTGTGCGGAGGTAGATAGACTAACCAGCTGCCGTGTTGCAGCGGGGTTTGCCCTCGCAAAGACAGCAGCCACGTCCATGAGCTTGGGCGCATCGAAGAGGCGCATGGAGAGGAGGAGGTCTGCGAGCGACAGGTAGAGAAGCGGGGAGAGAGGTCAGAAGAGGAAATTTGGCCCTCGCAAAGTCAGCAGCCACGTCCATGAGCTTGGGCGCATCAAAGAGGCGCATGGAGAGGAGGAGGTCTGAGGGAAGGGAAGAGAGGGTTGAGGTGGTAGGGGAGAGAGAGATGTAGAAGAGGGGAGAGAGGGTAAGAGAGGCAGGTGGCCTTCCCAAAGACAGCAGCAGCCACGTCCATGAGCTTGGGTGCATCAAAGAGGCGCATGGAGAGAAGGAGGTCTGGGTAGGACGGAGAGGGTGGAGTGGAGGTGGAAGGGGGAAGTGCAGGGGAAGAAGGAGGGCAGATGGAAAAGAGACAGAGTTTGTCATTCTAAAGACAGCAGCCACGTCCATGAGCTTGGGCGCATCGAACAGACGCATGGAGAGAAGGAGGTCTGGGTAGGACGGAGAGGGTGGAGTGGATGGAGGGCGTGTGGGGGAACAAGAAGGGAGATGGAAAAGAGAAGGAGGTTTGCGCCTAGTTTTGAGTCGACTCAAAGCATGGAGAGGAGGAGGTTTGCACGAGAACGAGGAGCGTGGAGGTGGAAGGGAGAGTTGTTGTGAGGAAGTAGGGAGAAGTTCTATAGGTCATTCGTAAACTCTTAGTAGGCTTGCCGCTTGCTGCGGATCAAAACCAACTAATTTCAATCGTAAGGAGGTAGGGAGAAGTGGGGGGGAGAGGGGATGGAGAAAGAGGAGAGAGGCACTTGGCCTTTCCAAAGGCAGCAGCCACGTGCATGAGCTTGGTTGCGTCAAATATGCGCATGAGCAAGTGGCCAATGAAAGTCATGGAATCAACACGTGGCGGTTGAAAAAACATGAGGGTTGAATCGCATGGTGTAGGAAAGGCATGGCTGGGAGCGGCATACATACGTGCATGGTCCTTGGCCTGAGGTGACTTTTGAGTCGACTCTAAAGGCATGGCTGAGAGCGGCATACATACGTGCATGGTCCTTGGCCTGAGGTGACTTTTGATTCGACTCTAAAAGCATGGCTGGGAGCGGCATACATACGTGCATGGTCCTTGGCTTGAAGCTGCTCTGATGGTTTCGCTCTGGACTCGATATTAGATGACCTGTTAGTAGCATGTACAGGAGAAGGAACCAGATAAAAAAATAGCTGGAAAATGGGAGCGAGAAAAAAAGGTTCCCATTTCGCTCCCATTTCTTGTGAAAGTGCAGGAAATGAAAGATTCGCACAAGAGTAGACATGGAATTGCCCTTGTTGAAATGCTTACGCATAGAAATTTCATGCTTGTGACATGCCAGCGCACCACAATACATGCTGATGCACACGGCAATACACAAGCATACACATGAATTGCCATGTTCATGCCCACGCACCACAATACATGCTGACACACACGGCAGCTGACAGACACTCACATGCGCAGCAGCAGCAGGAACACCAGCCGACACAACTCCTCATCCCCCACCACCACTCCCCTCCCTGTCGCCTCACTCCCCTCTCCTCCCCCTCCTCCCCCGTTCACTCCGTCTGCTCCTGCTGTTCCCAAAAATCCGCCAGTTTCAGCAGCAGCGGCGGCGGAGAGAAGATGGTCAAACCAACGGGACCGGAAGCGGAGGTACGAGTCGAGGAAGGCCACGAGTGAGGGCGAGCGGGCAACTGGGGCAAACAGGGGGAGGGGGGAAAGGGGAAATTCAAGAAAGAAGTGGGTGAGAATTGAGCAGCAGCAGCAGCCGAGAGGAGGAGGTCAAACCATCGGGAGCGACTTCTGAGAAGGTGGGAATCCAAGAAGGCCCCGAGCCAAGGCGAGCGAGCAACTGGGATGGGGGGAAACAAAGTGTTGAGAGGAGGGGGGGATGTAGGGAAAGGGGGAAGGGGGAAGGGGGAAAAGGGGAGAGGGGGAAAATGGGGAAAAGGGAGGAGAGGGGAAAGGGAGAAAGGGGAGAAATGGGGAAAGGAGAGAAAGGGGAAAAGGGGGGAAAGGGAGAAGGGTGAAAGGGGGAGAAAGGAGGAAATGGGGGGAAAGGGGAAAAGAGGGAATGGGGTATGCACATGGGTACAGGGTAGGATGCACACACACACTCCCCCTACACAGACCATACCCCCCTCTCCCCCCTAACACCCCTCCCCCCTCCCACACACACTCACGTACCTGTTCTCCAGAACTGCTTAGCTGGCAATCTCAGCATCTCTCGAAGCCTCTCCACCGTCCGATCAACCATCTTTTGAGTATCGCCCGAATCCACCCCTGCCAGACCTGCTGCCGAGCCTCCCACCAAGCCTCCCTCCGAACCTCCCTCCAAGCTTCCGTCCAAACCTCCCATCCTGCTTACTCCACCTGCCAGAATCTCATCCTGTGGCAGATACGACAAAAACGGCTCCTCCTCCTCCTCCGGAGCTGTTGCTACAGCCATAGATGCTACTGCAGGCACTGCTACAACCGTTGATGCTGCAGGAGCTGCTACAGCCGTTGATGCTGCTGCAGGCGCTGCTACAGCCGTTGATGCTCCAGGAGCTGCTACAGCCTGGGGTGGTGCAAATCCAGGAGGGGCTCTTACAGAAGCAGCATGTAACGAGGATGAGCCAAAACCTGGCGGAAAAGCGGGAGAGGCGGAAGCGGATGGTTGGGAAGGGGAGGGCCCGAAACCGGGAGGGACTGCGAGGCCAGACGAACCAGCTGTAGCAGCTGTAACAGCGGCTGCTGCAGGGGGTGTAGCAGATGTAGCAGCGACTGTAGCAGCTGTTGATTCTACTAGATTGGTCCGCTTCTCAAATCCAGGGGGCACTGAGGGAGCAAGTGGGGCAGATCCTAAAATTCCGGCACTGCCCGTCGCATCCAAATTCTGCCCGTCAACCAGCTGAGATTGTTGGATTTGCTGCCCGTGCGCTGAGTGATGAGCCTGCTGCTCCGCTTGCTGCTCCCCCTGCTGCTGCTCCGCTTGCTGCTCCCCCTGCTGCTGCTCCGCTTGCTGCTCCCCCTGCTGCTGCTCCGCTTGCTGCTCCCCCTGCTGCTGCTCCGCCTGCTGCTCCCCCTGCTGCTGCTCTGCCTGCTGCTGATAATTCCTTCCCCCTCGTCCGCCCCCCCCGCCCCATCTTCCGCCAAACCCGCCTCCCCGTCCGTGCCTTCCGCCTCCGCCGTCCCCCCACCAGCCGCGCTGATCCCCTCCCCCATGCCTTCCGCCGCCTCCGCCCCGCCCCCCTCTCCCTCCGCCACCCCAGCCTGACGCGTCCCCGTCACCCCTTCCGCCTCTTCCCCCTCCGCCTGTTCCCCCTCTGCCTGTCCCCGCGCCATCCCCCCAACTGTCTCCTACATACGCCCCCCCGCCACCCCTCCTTCCGCCTCCACGTCCGCGGCCTCCGCCGCCGCCCCCCCGCGGGCGCCACTCACGGCCTCCGCCACCCCCCCCTCCGCCTTCCATGTTTCGAGGCGAGCGGGAGGTTCGGAAATAAGGTCAGCAGTAGTGCTGATCCAGATGGATGTGACTATACGCGGATCAAGCTGGCGTCCGTAAGTCGCGAAACTTCGCTAATAGATCAGGCACGGGAAACACGCGTGACCCTGCCAGTTCATAGTAGGGACTACGGAACAGAAACCAGGAATGTATGTAACCTACCGTCTTTAGGAAAACACTACAGAACTAGATCCTTCCTCAAAATGTTGCGTAATTCCCGAGGTTTGTTGGGTTGGGGGAAGCAGCACTCACGTAATCCCCTAGGCCCTTGCTGGTCGACGAATTCAACGAATTTTGTACCCGATATACGTTCAGTCCAAACAATTGAAGCCGTTAAACTTTTGACATCACTGCTACTTGATATAGATTCAGCAAGAAACGAAAGTCATTGAGGGCTAGTACGGTAAATAAATTGGTGATTGCTTGTTATAGAGGAGAGCGTTACAGCATTTAGCAAACAAGTGTTGCACTATACCGAGCTACACCCAATCATCTTGCCATACTTCCAACCATGGCTCTTCCTCTCCACACCTGCCTTTCATCCACTAATCTACCTCCACTGTTTCCTCCATAACCACCATCCCCATAAGCACCAGGGCCATACGCCCCATTCCCATACCCTCCATTTCCATAACCCCCAGGAACACCATTTATACCACCTCCGTACCCCTCATAATACCCCTCATCCTCATCCTCCTCAGAATCATACTCGTTATAGTCATCCTCAACATCATCACGCCACCTCTCGGACGGCAGCTCTTCAGGCAGAATGTACCCTGCTGCCTCGGCGTTTCTCAGGCCAGTGGCAGTGCAACACGTGGCAAGCCCAAACAGGGCTGAAGCTGCCGACCAGAGGGTTGAGCCTGTAGCAGGAGGAGCAGCAGCGGCTGTAGCAGGAGCTTCTGCTGTAGCAACCTTCCCTGTTCCTGCACCTGCTTTTCCCGAAACCATCATCTGCTGCTGCGAGGGATGGAACGGAGGCTGCTGCTTCCCATTCCGGCTCATCTTCCCCCCTCCTCCCCCCTCTCCTCCTCCCCTTCCGCTCATTCCCCCCATTCCCCCCTTCCCAGGCGCAACCATCACTCCTCCCTCGCCCTTATACCTCCCACCTCCCCCTCTCGCTCCGTTCGCTCGCCGCCCGGAAACCCTTCCATACCCGTCCATCCTCCCAACCACAGGAACCGGCCCGGCAAACCGCTGCATCTCATTGGGCGGGAACGGGGCGGTATAATACGGCAGCAGCGGAGGATTCCCCACAGGAGCACCCACAAACCTCCCACCCTTCCCCCCCACCACTGGCCCATACCCGGGCACAGCACCATAGGCAGGGAGGGGGGGAGGAGGATAGGCGTGACCATACTGTCCTGGGAACATCCCTCCTCCTGGTCCGCCGGCGTGAGCAGCAGCAGAGAGCGCAGCAGAGGTTCGGGCTCGCAGCGACTCTAGCGCCTGCTCTAGGGTTGCCATGGCTTGGAGCACGTCCGGGGTCAGAGCAGGCTCGGCAGCACCGGAGCTAGCAGACCCAGCCACGGGGTTACCACCTGCACCAGTCCCACCTGCGCCTGCCAGCGCGGCTGCGGCAGCAAAGGCTGCGGCGATAGCCGGGTCTTGGGATGAGAACGGGGCGTACGCAGGAGGAACGGGAGGATGAGGGTGCTTCTGCTGGTGCGGGTACGAAGCAGGTTCTGAATCGTCCAGGGTAACCAGCAGCTGATCCTCTGCGTCCTCGAATACCTCTTCCTCCTCCTCCTCCTCCTCCCCTCCATTCGTGTGAGTCACTCTTGCCGCTGCTGCTGTTGCTGCTGCTGCTGATGCAGCTGCCATGGCAGACCTGTGCGCCTCCGTGGGAGCCCCTTCCACAAACGACGCTGTTGCCACCAGCACCTTCTTTTCCTCCTCCACCTCCTCGCCTTCCTCTCCCTCCACCCCCGTCTCTCCCAACCCATTTTCACCCATCCCCAATCCTCCGGCCGCCTTTGCCCGGTACTCGTCCATAGCCGCTTCAATCCGGCCATACAGCTTCTCTTCCTTCAGAACCTTCCTAAACTCCACCCCCTTTTGCCCCTCATCTGCCAAGTCCGTCTCAACCTCTTTCCTAAACAAATTGAACAGCACCCCTCCGAACTCCTTGGTAACGAAGTTAACCACCATGGCCGGGAGCTTCAGATCGCAGGTGAAGATCGACCGGAAGTGGCAGCGTGAACGGCCGAGATCTTTGATGGAGAATCCGCCGTTGATGGCCATGCGGACCATTCCCGAGGGGACTGGCGGCGCCATGTCGCGGGAAAACCCGTGAATGGATGCGTCGATTTCGCTGTTGTCCTCTGGAAGCTGGGGATTGGAAGGGAGAAGGGAACGGGGAGCGGGGGGCATGGAGAGAGGGGGTGAAAGTGGGGGGTTGAGTGAGCCGTGCAGGCGACACGCCACGAGAAAACCCTTGGAAAAGAATAGTCGATTTCGTTATTGTTCGTAGGCACAGGCACCCTCCCACGCGGGCGCACAGACGAACACACTCGCTTACTTAACAACCCTCCCATATTCCCAGACACAGTCGCAATCATACTCGTACACTCACCGTGCGGACGACAGTGGTGGCAACACCCGTGTCGGAGTCGTAAATGGTAAAGAAGATCATCGGAACTCACACTCGCACACACAGTTACAGTCACACACTCACACGCTCGCGCACTCAATGTCACACTCAGCATACGCACCGTGCGGACGACAGTGGTGGCAACGCCCGTGTCCGAGTCGTAAATGGTAAAGAAGATCATCGCGAACTCCTGCCACGGGAACGGCCACGGCACCTTGAACCTGGAGGTAAGAGCACAACGAACGAACAGGAGAGGAGAGGAGAGGAGAGGAGAGGTGAGGTGAGGACAGCAGGAGGATTGTGGTTAGCTTGCGAGTTGACGGGGAAGGGTAGCGAGTTCCACTAAAGCGTGTGTAGCACACACGATACTCTGACTCCGTCTAGCGAGCTACTCACTTCATATAAGTGATATCGAAGCCGTCGCCGACGCGCGCGAGGTACCGGTTCTCGACGATTCTGTAGACGGGCATGTCGCCCTGCGGCCACCACTCCTTGAAGAACCCCGCGTCGCGCGTCATGGCGACGGCGGCGTGCACGGGGCTGTCGATGCGCCCCTCCATGCACAGCGCGTTTATCGCCGTGCCTTCCGGGCCCTTGCGCAGCATCGCGCGGTGCTCCGGACCCTCCTCGCACATCTGCGGGAGAAGCAAGGACGTGCAGATATAGGTGATGAATACGGGGTTATGAGATTGTGACGGGGTGATGGAATGCAGAAATCAAACGCTTCGCATTGTTGAGGCGCATTCCAGGAGTTTGTAGAAATCGCTTCAGTGGCTAGTAGAGGGAAGGAAGAACCTTGTACGTATGTTTTTCGTCGAATAAAAAAAGCGGCGAGTAGAGGGAAGGAAGAACCTTGTACGTATGTTTTTCGTCGAATAAAAAAAGCGGCGAGTAGAGGGAAGAAGAAAGTACCTTCCACGCATTGCGGTCCGCAGGATCGGTAGTAGCGAGAGCCTCCACGCTGACACTCTTAAGATCCTCCAAGAGCTTAACGGTCTCCGCTGCCCAATAGTCCGCCACGCTGTTGCTCGATCCACCTGCTCCCGCTGCTCCTGCTGCTGACCCATTTTTCACGTCCAGCTGCTTGCTTATAAGAGCCGTGACTTTATCGAGGTCCTTCCACGTGGGCTCCTCGAGCGCCTGATCGAGTAGGTCGATGCCTTCTGCTAGCGCCATGGCTTGGGTTTCTTTCGTAGAAATGGAATACTACGCTACAGGAAATAAGTTACCGTTATGGGAATACTACGCTGTTCCGAGTCCAGTTTCCAAGTTGTATTTCGCAGTTCGTGAAATCGTGAATGAGGATTCGGCCTACTATCGTCCTGACAGTGCAGGCGTGACCATGAATCCCGCAGTGGTTAACGGACGATGAAGAAACAAGCTAACGATAGATTACCTGAGAGAGACACTCCTCTAGAATCAATGGTCGCCCTTTCTATCAAGACTGATGAGACTGACTAACTGCCGAAGTTGACGGGTTATGTGATGGCTTGGATGGAACTTCAAGGCACAACTGGGCAAGGTGGTCAATATGAACTAGCATGTATCGCCTCGGTTTCATACCTGTCGTAGGAGAACCTCGTCTAGCCCCGACTAAAAAACACTGGCGGTGGAGGAACCTGGGAGCCGCGCGCCTTTTCTCCGCTGTACGGATAGCTCTGCGGTGAAACCAAGGTACAAAGACGTAGGTACTTAGTTAAGTGTGTATCAGCGAAAACTAGCGGTGGGATGGCGACAAGACTCGGTACAGTAGATTCGGTTTTGGACGACTAGGCTCGGACGAAAGACATCTGGTCAGCACAGCGCGACATGTGCGAGGCAACGATGTACCCGAACCGAGCGTCGTGCGTGAAATACCAATCAAAACCAACCTTGTTTCGCTAGGCACGGAGCCTGCGGTGGCGGTGGCGAGGTGTGGTGGGGTGAGGCTAGGCGAGGTGGAGGTGAAGTCCGAACCTTCAATTCGATTCGAAGCACCTAGCTTTCGCACCGTTAGCCTCGAATCGCGTCAACTTCACACGCATCGCGCAGTGAACAGTAATGCCGTTCATGCCACCGGCCTATGAATGCAGAGTACGCAATATGAAAGAATTCCGGGGTTAGGCCAAGTGGTTGAGAACAGTTGTAGACGTTTCTGATAAGGGGCATTCCGGCTGCAGTCTATGACTTGACTCATTAAAATTTTAAGTGCGAATCAAAATTATTTTTCACAGTTTAGCATTCCTCGCAACACATAAAGCACATATGACGTAGAAGCCTTTGTGTGTCACGTGGTTGAGCAGCTCTTATTTTGGTGAACTCTTTAACACAACTCAAAACCTTTTTTACTACGTAATAAATACGAAACAAAGCACGGCTTCACTGCCTCAGCTAGACAGACCTACCCAGGGGCCTATAGAACCTTGCTACTGCGTGAAAATCTCATTCCAAAGAATCTCTTGCCGATTCTTGAGAGGGAAACCCTCTTCCCGCCATCTTTCGGCTTTCCGGCCTTACCAGCATTACCATTGTCTAAGCATCCCAGTGCAGTATCTTCGTCACTCCCACCCGACTCTCCTGTAACCGTGACAGGCCGAGCGGCAGACTTGACCGGCCCAACAGAACTGCTTGAGAGTGCATTGTTCCCTGTCTCCCCATCACCCAGCACCACCTCCTCTTGGAAACCATCCTGCTGTGAAGGTGAGCAACTGAAGGCTTCTCTCTTCGTCCCAGTTGCAGCAGTCATGCTTGTGACATGTTTCTCATGCTTGGCATCGCCTTGTGGATCTGAAGGACCCGCTTCTGCTGCTGCTGCTGCCGCTGCACGCGCACGTACAAATAGAATCGCCTTATCCAGCGTAGCAACCGCCCGGAAAATTGCGGGGTCTCTGTGATAAAGCCCGGGGTAACTGCTCGGACTGCTGCTACCGCTGCTGCTCTGGCTGCTGCTGCCGCTGGCACTGGCACTGTCACCGCAAGCAAAGGAGCTTCTGCTGCTGGTCACGCTGCAACTGCTGTTGAGCATGTCTGGAATTTCACCTGCCCGAAGGTTAGCAATGACACCATAGCTGCCGCTGCTGGTGCTGCCAGTGACGGTTCGGATGCTTGGAAGCGGCCCCGAACGTACCGAGGAGGACTCCCGAAGCAGGCTCGCCATGCCTTCTCCGGCTTCCAGACCTCCGTGCCGAGCCAAAGGTAGAGGCCCGGAAGAAAAGGTTTGGGTAACGGAGCTGAAGGAAGTGGAAGCACTGGGAGGGCCCTCAGCAACATTAGCTGCAGCAGAAGCAGCAGCCAGAATCGTTGCAGCAGCTGCCGATGCTTCACTTGCAGCCATACCAGCCGCTCCTCCGGCTCCCAACCCGCTCCCGGACCTGCTTCCGGACCTGTCCCGAGCCTGTGAACCAGGAGGTTCAACAGAAGGTCGAGTCAGCGCTACAGCCGAAGCAGCAGCAGCCTCCAGCTGTAGCAGAGCCTCCTCCGCCTCCTCAGGCCCAAGCACACTCTCCCTCTTAGATAAAGACGAAACAAGCCGCTCCACCTCCTCCTCCACCTTTTCCCCCAATTCCCTCAACGACCTGCCCTCCTCCTCACTCCCTTCCCTCCTACTCTCCCCTTCCTCCGCCTTGCCCCGTCTATACTCCTCCATTGCTTTCCTCAGACTCATGTAGACCGGATCAGAGGCTAAGAGCTGTTGAAACGCCCCGCGCCCCTTCTTCTTATCACACTTGTTCACAGTAGCAGCAGCGGCCGCGGCTTTGACGATTGTGTCTACCTCGTGACAGAGCAGGTGGTAACCAGTGCCGGCTAGCTGCCGGGCAACGAAATTGATGAGCCACGGGGGCATGAGGTCGAACTTCATGTCCAGCGTGCATGCTCCGCTGTGGGGGGGAGGGGGGGAGAGGGGGGTAGCATGGGAGGCGACAAGGGAAGGCGTGGTGGCGTTGATGAGCCACGGGGGCATGAGGTCGAACTTCATGTCCAGCGTGCACGCACCGCTGTGGGGGGAGGAGAGGAAGGGAATGTGGCAAAGACAGGAACGGTGAGGAGAGTGTGGTTGTTGGTGCTGGTGGTACTTTCAGAGGCAACGGAGGCGATGATGAGCCTTAGGGGATTTTGAGAGACCTCAAAAACACCCTCTCTACACGTTGTTGTGGTGCTAGTGGTACTCTCAGAGGCAACGGAGGCGATGAGCCACAAGGGGATGCAGGAACGGCGCCAGGAGCAATAGCAGCAGCAGCAGTTGACTTTTGAGTTGACTCAAAAGTCAACTTTCGGAGGCAACGGAGGCGATGAGCCATAGGGGATGCAGGAACAGCGCCAGGAGCAATAGCAGCAGCAGCAGCCGCCCGCCACCCCACCCCACGTCCTGCCTCGCAAGTTGCAGAAACAAAGCCAGGAATCGCAACAGCGGCAAGGCATACCCCTCGAATTTCCCAAGAGGGAAAGCTTACCGGAAGTAGCAGCGGCCGCCCCCCAGGTCCTGGCCTGCAAAGCCGCCGCCCACAGTCATGCGCACACAGCCCGGCGCCACAGCGGGCATGGCGGATGGGTGCAGAGGTGCTGTCTCTGGGTCCATGTGTGATATGTCGTCTGGTGGCTGGGGGAAGGGGAAAAAGGGAGAGGAGGAAAAGTGGGGAGTAAGGAGGGGGTTGGGTTCGAGGGTTGGGAGGTACAGTCATGCGTACAAAGCCAGGTGCAGGTTTTGTGGCCATGTGTGATGGGTCGTCTGGTGGCTGGGGAGGAAGCGAGTAGAAAAAGCGAGTACAGTCATGCGAGTACACAAAGCCAGGTGCAGGTGCCAGGGTTTGACAGGTCGTCTGGTGGCTGGGAATTGAAGGGGGGATTGATGGCGGAGGCAACAAAAGGGGAGAAAGGAAGGGGGTTGGGAGAGACGAACCGGCATGCACACGTGCAGAAGGTTAATGTTTATTTTTGAGAATTCTCATGTGGCAAAAGTCACAAGAACATGGTTGGGAGAGACGAACCATCATGTATATTGGAGCGACTTTTGAGAATTCTCAAAAGTCGCTCCAAAAGTCACATGAACATGGTTGGGAGAGACGAACCGGCATGCACACGTGGTGCAGAAAGCGAGGCCACAAAGCAGGCCGTGGCCGTGCGTGTTGTGAGGCATGAAGGCGAGGGAGAGCAGGCACGAGCAGGCCACTCACAAGAGCACCCACACGCACACTCTCACTGAGAGCATTAACAAGAGAGCACCGTTGTTCCCTCAACACCAGCACCCACCGAGTGCACGGAGGCGACAAAGAGGCCGGTGGGCCGTGTCGTGAACCATGAAGGCGAGGACTGGTGAATGTCCTCGGCTGTGCAGCAGTGCACAGAAGCAACAAGGAGGCCGGTGGGCCGTGTCATGAACCATGAAGGCGAGGACTGGTGGATGTCCTCGGCTGTGCAGCAGTGCACAGAAGCAACAAAGAGGCCGGTGGGCCGTGTCATGAACCATGAAGGCGAGGACTGGTGAATGTCCTCGGCTGTGCAGCAGTGCACAGAAGCAACAAGGAGGCCGGTGGGCCGTGTCATGAACCATGAAGGCGAGGACTGGTGGACGTGTGTTTCTCAGCAGCATCAGTAGCGGACCCACTCCTGCCTGCACGACTCACCAAGAGCAGCCACGCTCACCGTTGGCGCGTCTACATGAGAGAGGCTCACTCGCCAGGTCACTCCCCACATCACCCATTGTTCACCCCCACACTCACCGAGTGCACGGAGGCCACAAAGAGGCCCGTGGCTGTGTCGTGAACCATGAAGGCGAAAAAGAGCAGCTCTCGCGTGGCAAAGGGCCATGGTGACTTGAACCTGTGGGACGGGAGAGGAGGTAAGGGAAGGGTGGGAGGCAAAGGAGAGGTATGAGTTGAGTCAAAACACACACGCGTGTGAACCATGGAGGCGAAAACGAGCAGCTCTCAAGAGGCGAATGGCCATGGCGACCTGAACCTGTGGGGCGGGAGGGAGAGGAGGTAAAGGAAGAGTGGGAGGCAAGGAGAGGTATGAGGTGAAGGGCCACAGATCAACCTACCGAGGCCAAAGCATGACTCGCTATAAGCATCACTGTGACTCGCTAGCTCGATCTCGACATCACCCCTGACTCGCTATAGACATCCCCACAACCCGCTATAGGCATCACGACGAATCCAGCACCGTGACTCACTGCAGGTAGCTGAGCTCTAGGCCCGGTGCGATGCGGTGGGCAAATTTGGACTCTAGCACCTTGAAGGGCGGCACGCTGAACTGAGGCCACCTGCTCGGGATGACGTGGCATGGGATGACGTGGAATGGGATGACGTGGCATGGAAAAGACGTGGCATGGAAAAGACGTGGCATCGATGCCCGCAGCATGCCTCATGGAGGTGTGAAAAGGGATATGATGGTGAGTGCAATGCTGCGCGTGACGAGAATGGACTTTTTGGAGCGCCTCAAAATTGAGTGCAATGCCGTGCGTGACGAGAATGGACAGAGTGGAAGAGAGTGACGCGTGGGACCGAGTGGGGAGATGGGGGAAAGGGGAAGCCCCCCGGCTTGGGACCGAGTGGGGAGTGGGGGAAATGTGAAGAGAGATTGGGTGGGTTGGTTAAGGGAAAGGGGAAGGGCGACAGAAGGTGGAGAAGCCAGTATAGGGCGAAAAGCGAGCATGGATTTGAAGAGACGGTGGGCTTTAATTAGTCTTACCAGTCCTTGAAAAACGGGACTTCCCACACCACAGCCAACACTGCATCGTGACACACACAAACGGGGAGAATTAGGGGAAAGATATCATTTTGAGACGCCTCAACTTGTGACGAACGGGACTTGCCAGACCACAGGCAACACTGCAGTGTGACACAAACGTTTGGTGACGGTGAGGAAGATGATGCTGGGAAGTGGGCGGCAAGGCAGGTACGGCTCAGGGACGATCAGAAAAAAAGAAAAGATGAAAAAAAAAAAGTGATTAGTGACCGCACTGCAGTCACGCTCAACATGGGAAACCAGGCACGTGGTAGCAGCGGAAAAGTAGACACGTGGCAGGGTGGCCACGTACACGTGTCAAGCGGGCCGTGGATGATTCCTTCGAGGCAGATCTCGTGCAGTGGCGTGCCCTCAGGACCCTTGCGGTACAACACGCGGTGCTCCTTCCCCTCCTCCTTCAACTGCGCAGTATTGGGAAGGAAGAGGCGAAGGGAGGAAGAAACGAGAAAGTTGAGGAGCCATCATTTTACGGTCTTCAACCGGGTCCGGTCGCCCCTTGCAATACAGCACTTGGTGATTCCTGCCCTCCCCCCCAACCCGCGAGTCAAAATAATCGCAAGCTTAGGGGAAGTGACGCTCAGAAAAGCTATCCGCCACTGGCGATCATCGCTTACCCGCCATTGTCGGTCGTCGCCGCAATCCACGCCGTCCTCCCGGATGCTTTCGTTGCTCAGCGCGAGAGACTCGAGATTCGCCTCTCCCGCGGTGCGGAGGCTGTCCAGCACGTCGATTAACTCGCGCGTCCGCGCCTCGACGAATTTCTCCGAGAATCGCGCGCGACGCGCTTGCTTCCCCGCGGCATCGACGCCAGCACCGCCAGCGTTGGAGCCCGAAAGAATGTTCCCCTTGTTGGACTCCCCGAGAACGTTGCTGCTCGGACTGAGCCCGGTGCTGACATTTTGCTCCTCGGAATCCGCTACTGCGGAACAGCCATTTGATATTTGATACAAGGACGCCCCAGGTACAAGCGCGGAAGGACGCAGAGGAAAGGGGGGAGAGAAATGGAGGGGGGAAATGGGGAAGGGGTTGGAGGATGAGGGTAGAAGGACTGGGAAGGAGATACGAATTGCGACAGCTTTTTGCGATTGGCGAAGTGGGACACGCGCTGGTTACCATTCTACACCGGTTGCCTGAGTGAGCGACGTAAGCTCTCGAACATTGCTGCTGGTAATCAGTCAGGATTTTGCGAGGATTGTATTCCGTTGCGAAGAATGATATCACTTTCCTGCGAATCACTTGGATCTGTGCAGCAGTCTTCCCATCGCCGCAACTACCCTATCGTACAAAACTTGCACTGGAGTATTCACAAGTACTCTAAAGCGCGGCATCACCTGGCAGCCTAAAACCTACTCGGGCCCGCGATCGGTTTGCGCTGCTCTTACATCACGCTTTTAATCTTTATTTCCTCCACTATTTTTCGGGGTGGGGGTAGGTATAGGTGGCACCTGGCAGCAGCAGCAGCAACTTACATCACTATTACTGAAAAAGAAGAAAGAGACGTCTCAAACTTCGCACGTACCCAGGTGCCGCCTGACAGCAGCCGCGACGGCATCGCGATCCGTCCACGCATGCGACGCGAGCGACCTATCGAGCGCCTGGCGCGCTTCTAAAAACGACATCGGCGACCGCGTCGCGCTTGTCGAGGCGAACACGTCACGCTCTTCGAGGCGCGCCTCGAAAAACCAAGTCACGCGTTCCTGCTGCTCGAGTTCTTAGTCGTCTTGGAAGAAGGGGCTCAGGGTGAAAGGCGGTTCTAGATGTGAGAATGAGGAGGAAAAACCTGTGGTCGACTGATACAGGTGATTGGAGAGTCGATTTCCCAGATGATCTGGGAAGGAGAGTCCAGTACAACAGGTTCAGCGTGTGTGTGAACTGCAAAGTAGGCAATTTTATTTTGCTGCAGCACAAGTTTTGTCTTCAGTCGCAGGTCTGTAATGCAGTAAAGCACAACTGAACCTGCTCGGCAGACACACACGGTCGTAAAGAACTAATGCTCCACAGGAACTACTAAAACCAATCACTGTCAGTGAGTGACTCATTAGGAAGAGGAAAGGAAAATGGAAGAAATTTCCCCCCAGCAACAAGAGAATTGCTGCTTTCGGTTTTGACTGGGAGGAAGCGCTACTGCTTCTCGTGAACAGATGTTGAAGAGCGGGAATCGACGGAGCAGAGTCGCCATACATCTTCATCCACGGTCGTCCTCGACCCGCATTTTCGACTGATTTTGGACGGAACGAGACTGGATGAGGAGGGGTCGGGATGGGAACGGTTCGGGTCGGGATTCGGTCGGGACGGAAGTGAATGTATTTGTGCCTGAATGCTACGACAGGTTTGGGCGACTCGGGACTCGGGATTCTGGGTGCGAGATTTTGTGGCTGCAGTTTCGTAGCTGAAATTGCAAGAAAAGAAGGGGGGAAAGGGGAGGGGGGGGGTACAGTAGGCTAGGAGGAGGGTGCTTCGTTCCAAAAGTGAATTTGGTCCGTGCGATTTTAGCTGCCAGGTTCGGCCCATAAGAGAATGTGCCGGAGCTTTTTGTTCCGCCAATGGTGAGGCGCTCTACGCAACCCAAACCACCGCCAGTCACGGAAGCCGAGCAGCCAGCTTGTCGGTGTGCACGAGGTGAGTGCCCGGCCCGCCAGGTTGCTGGCTGATATTTCAGTTCATCGGGGGAAGAGCAAGTGACATGGCCGAATCGTGCCAACGGTCAGGATTCCCGCTCACACAATCAAGTACAGTGCGTACCCCATCAATGCAATCTTCGTTAATCCGCGTTGACATACCCCCCATTGTGTTGTTCAAGGTACACAGAAACCTAACACCTTATAATCACTTGGCATGACTTCCTGGCATATCCCCTTGCTAAACAGCTTCACTAAACACCTTGTCTAACAGTCTACCCAACCACCCACTCTTCATCCCTGCACCAAATCCAAGTCAACCCAACTCAACCCCTTCCAGCACCGCACGTCACACTCGGGCCCATCCAACACTGTCAATCTCATTCCGTGCCTTGCGCAGCAGCTCCAGTCTCTTCCATGCGGCCTGCCTCCGAGCCATCACGTCCGGATCCTCATCTAGCAGCTTCGCCAATGCCTTTCCGTCCTCCCTGCCCACCATCGCATAGAACCTGTCCAGCAGCCGCCGCTTTGCCTCCCGGACCTGCAACGAACAAGCAAAAGGGCAGAAAAAAATAAGTTGGAAGGTCAATTAGTGCCTTCATTCCTGTCATCCCCACCCATTAAAGGTAAAGGGCAGAGATCTTGCTGAATCCAAGCATGGGCCATCTTGTTGAAGCAAAGTGGACTATCATACTTGGCTGTGGGCAACCCTACCTGATAATGCACGGCCTACCTGGCAATGCACCACAGCTTTGGGGATGGCACTTTTGAGTCGACTCAAAAATCGACTCATCTCAGGCAGTGGGCAACCCTACCTGATAATGCACGGCCTACCTGGCAATGCACCACAGCTTTGGGGATGGCGTTCTGCAAGCACTCCATGACCATGCCCACATAAGTTGACACGTTGGAGCCTGGAGAGGGGGGGGGGGGGCAAGAGTTGACAGAAAAGGGAGGGAAACCAAGGATGACTCCTGAGTTGACACGAAAAGCAGGTGGCAAATTGTTTTTGCACTGTCAAGCACTCCATGACCATGCCAAGCAGCAAAAGCCTCTTGATACAAAATTCGTGGGATAAGCAGAGACTTCTGAGGCGCCTCAAAAGTACGTCTGAGATTAGAAAAACCCACCGATTCTCCTGCAGTGCATTTCCTGGTATCGATCTGCCTTGGAGGCAGCCTCTCCCTGCTTCCCTTCAGCGCTTTGAGCTTGCCTCTCACACGCAAATGCATTCCCAGATACCCAAACTCACTCACTGACTTTTTCTGAAGTGCATTTTAGGAGGCTCACCAATTCTCCTGAAATGCATTTCCTGGTATCGATCGGCCCCTGTAGGCAGCCTGTCCCCACTGCCCTTCAGCGCCTTGATCTTGCTACTAATGCCACTCCCACTCCCCTTCTTCCCATCCTTCCCATCCTTCATATCCGGCCCATCCTCCAGATTCTCCAGCCCGGGCAGCCGCCGAAAAAACTCCACGGTCAGGTAACTCGTCTCCATCTCCACCAATCGCACGGTCAGCTTCCGGCTGTTCTCCCGAAAACTTTCCAGCGACTGGGTGGCAGCAGCTGACAGCTCAGCCTGGAGCGAGGGAAACCGGAGCAGCTCGGTGGTTTCCCCTACGGAGATGCGAACGAGGTCTCTGAGAATGAAATGCACCTCGTCCACCACTGCTTCGGCCGGCCCCTTGAACATGAGCAGCGCGCTCTCGATTAAGCGCCGGTAACCGCCCTCGGGAGCGATCAGATGCGGCTGGTACCCGTCTGCCTCCGCCACAATCCTCCTCACATCTGCCAGTTGTTGGGGCGAGGAAGGGGTTGGGTGGGTAAGGGGCCAGGAAGGGAGAAACCGCAGGAGCTGGGTGAACGAGGTCCCTGGGTATAAAATGCACCTCGGTCGTGCAAGGACTGGGAGATGGAAATCACGTACTCTGGATGGAGAGGTGCTTGTCAAAGGGAAGCTTGTTGAGTGCTGCTGGCAGCTTCGTCTCAAACACCGCATTGATTCGGTCGCCTCCTGGCCGACTGGTGAACACCAGCAGTAGGAGAAGGGAGAAGAGCAGGAGAACATAGAAGAGCCAGAGCAGAAGGGGGGTTAGCAAGATGAAGAAAAACGTGGAACCCTCCATCACGCCCCACACTATCCTTCTCAACAGCAGATGGATAGTGTGGGGCGTGATGGAGGGTTCCACGTGATGGATTAAGATATGATTAATATCAACCACCATGCACAGCAGATGACAGATCATTCACTACCACGCCTCCCAGGTGCTCCTTAAAAACCCTGATTTCCCTCGATTCTTGCAAGGCGCTCGGCACATGTCGGATCAGACGCAGGGTAATCTCAATACTTCTCTGCCAATACCCTAATTACCCTGAACACTTGTGAGGCGCTCGGCACATGTCAGACGCAGGGTAATCTCAATACTTCTCTGCCAATACCCTAATTACCCTGAACACTTGTAAGGCGCTCGGCACATCTCCCAGTGCAATGCAGCCCTCACTACCACATAACGCCTAGAACAGCACACAACCACCACACCCCGCCATCCAGGTGTTCATGGCACATCTCCCAATGCGATCCTCGCTAACTAACAAGGACAGCACCACACAGCACACACCCACCCTGCCCCACAACCCTTACCCGCCATCCAGGTGCTCCTTGAAAATCTTGTCAAATGCTCGGCACATCTCCAGCACCGTGTACAGCTGGGCCTGCGGCCCTTTCAATGCCTTAGCCCCAGCTCACCCCAGGACACACCCATCCACTCCACGAGCTTAACCACCCCACATACCATGCACGCACTTACCCGCCGTCCAGGTGCTCCTTGAATATCTTGTCAAACGCTCGACACATCTCCAGCACCGTGTACAGCTGGGCCTGGGCGCGGTGAGATGGGGTTCGGGACGGGGAGAGAGGGAGAGGGGAAATGGGGGATTGGTGGGGTGAGTGGGGTGTTGGGGAATGGTTGAATTGTTGGGGAACGAAAGAGCTGTTCATTCTGCAGTTGTTAGTACATAGAGAGGGGGAGGACAGGAGGTACATACCCTGACTGCACCTCGTCTCAAAATACCCACTCACCCCAGCTTCACGACCAATGGGCCGGCCCAGCGCGTTCATCTCCTTCTCAAGGTCGTCAATGTTGTTGTTGATGAGCGACTGGATGCAGAGGACCACAGGCAAGGCCCAGAGACGCACACTCTGGAGGCAAAGACAAATGCACTGACAGCACCTCTCTGGTGGTACTCTACTCACCCCGGCTTCGCCCCCAATGGGCCGGCCCAGCGCGTTCATCTCCTTCTC